TTTTTTTTTTATATATCAGTAGCCTCACCACGTTTTCGTAATTTTGCGTTTTTTGCTATGAGTTCATTGGATGCAAAGCTATAAGCTTTCTTCACTATTGTCAATATATACTAGTACTTTATTCAAGTGTAGCATTATATAATTTAATTATTGGACAAATGGTCTGTATAACTTTAAGAAGTTGTACCTATTAAAAGGTCTACTCCCGTATCATGTTGGTACATAGTAGGAACTGTAATTTTTTCTCCTGCTATTAAACATGTGACATTATAAGTCACTTTTTCTAAAGTAATTATTTGTTTATTTGCAACCTATGCAGTTATTTTTTGTTTAGCATTTTCCCATTTTTCCAATGGTAATACCAAATGATGTGCAACGCAAATACTTGCACCTGTATCTATATATCCATGAAGATATATATTTTATATCAAGTGAACTTAATACCCACCTTGATATAGGTACTATTTTAGGGTTAGTTATATTTAACAATCGTTCCATTCATCAGAACTTCCGTTAGTATTACTTTCCCATTTTGAGTTTGGTTTTGAATAGAACTGTTTATATTCTATTTCAAATATTAATTCATATTATGAATTATTAGACTCATTATCATATTGAATTGGTTCAAAATTGAATTTTGCATAGCATAAAGCATTTTAGTTTTATCCTTACTTTCTTTTCTTTTAGGACATTGAATTGCATAATGAGCTTTTTTCTTGACATAACCAATATATGCAGTTAGATTTTCCTTTTGGGTAATATTTTTCTTTTCTTTCAATCCTTCTTCTATATCTGGGTTTATTCATTCATAATTCTCTTTTTTGTATTTCTTATATTTAGAAATGTACATTTTGTAATTTTTAAACATCTAGTGTTTGATTTCTGAAAATTCCTCTATTTTCTAGTTCTACAACCCCATTTATTAGAAACTAGTATGGTACCCGTGCGCAGCACGGCGGGGTTATTTCCTCAAACCTTTTTTTGTAACTTTATTTTAAATATTTTTAATAAATTAATAATTTGATTATAATGGAAAAGAGGATAGAGAAATAGAAAATATAATCAAAATCATATATTATTAAACACTTCTCTATACACAACATTATTGGTTTGATTTTCTTTCAAACCTTCTTCTCCACAAATTAAAATTCTCAAACTCTTTCTATTAGTAACACGGGAGACGACGACATATAACTGGCCAAGACTAAAAACTGGTTTCTTCAAGAATAAGCCAACATGCGATAATGATTGACCTTGACTCTTGTTTATGGTCATTGCGTACGAAACCATAGAGGGGAACTGCCTTCATTGAATTTGAATGGTACTCTAACATCCGAAGGAATTATTGTCATCCAAGGTATCAAAACTTTTATCACCTGCATGATCGTCAGTAAGAATTTTACACTCGAGAACATGACTGGAGAGTTTAGTCACAACCAATCGTGTACAATTGCAGAGTCCCATTGAGTGATCCATGTTCCGCAACAATATAACTGGTGTTCCAACCTTCAAATTCAACTCATGGTTCGGTGTTCCAGAACACTTGATAGTATTCAAGAACTCAGGAGTATGAAGTTGTGCCACAAAGTCGCTATTGGATTCGGATTTACACGTACTGTCTGAACTTTAATACGTGCGTCCCTCAGTCAAATTCAACGACGACATGTATTCATTTCTAGATTTTACGATCTCGTGTGTTGGTGCAAGTATAGCTCTGTCCTTCAAGTAACTTGGATCATCGGGTGTATTCTTGAACATTGGATACGTGCTTTCAACAATTTTTGCAATTGGATCATCGGATGGCTCTAGTAATAGATCATCTGGTATGTCTATTGGAGAACATCCATCATTTGTACCCCCCAATGTTCCATCTCCAATGCTCGCTATCCAATCAGCAAAAGCGGCTAGCTCGTCATGTTCATTCGAATCGCCAATGCTCTGAAGACGTATGTTCTTTGTAAGCCTAAGCACAGTATAGTCTCCCCAAATGCTAGAAGAGTTAATAGCAGCATTAACAATCTTCTGACGACTCCCCTTTGGAACTACCGGAAGGATTTTTCGAAAGTCTCCACCAAACACAACAGTCTTGCCTCCGAACGGTTTATGATGATTTGTCAGGTCGAGTGCTCTCATTATTGCGTTAAAAGATGTTTGAACAGCTTCAAAACAATGCTTATGCATCATTGGGGCCTCATCCCATATGTTCAATGAAGAGCGAATAATCAACTCGGCAAGAGGGCTAGCCTGATTGATCTCACACGATGAATTTTCATGCACATAAATAGGAATGCCAAATCGAGAATGTGCAGTTCATCCGTCCGGCAACAAGAGAGATGCTATTCCACTTGATGCAACACAAAGCACAATTCGACCGTGTGATCTTAGCCGAGCAGCTAAAGTCCTCCACAAGTATGTCTTTCTAGTTCCACCATAACCATACACAAAAAATACGCCGCCCCTGTCGGAATGAACAAATGTCATTATTTTGGAATAAACACCCTTTTGTTCATCGGTCATATGTGTCAGCAATGCATCATGCTCAATAGCTAGAGCCTTACGGTCATAGTTAAGTTCATCCATAACCAGACGGTTCACACTTGAATTAATACTACCCATATCTGGAAAAGGCATAGTAGAATAGACCTGAAGACTTGTGCCACGTTGTCTTAATAATGTCTCAATCTCTACAAGAGCTAGATTTTTTATATCTGCATCACTCAGCTTCAAATCTGAAATAATTATAAAGGACATATTAGATTTCATTTTTTTTACATTGAATACAGAAAAGTTAGTAATAATAAAAAAACAATATTACTTATCTACTTGATAAATGCATAATATAAAGCCTATTAAATCTCATACCTTCATTATCGAAAAGACGATGTTGCTTGTATAGTACGTTGTCAGATAGAAATTGCCAACACCGTTCCCAAATTTCATCAGGTTTGCCTAAGGATCCAGAAACCATATAAAGACGCGAACATGCGCCTAAGAGAATCAACAGATGCCTACTAACTTTCTTCGGTAATTCCATCAATGTACTCTCGATCATCACCCAACAAACCTCGTACATAGCATGCATCGCGATAGGACATGTGTTGAACATCTTCTACCTTCATATAATCCTCGTGGCAAGTAGCACCACGAACAACATTGACCAAACACCTCA